CGCGGGTCTCGAACTCGCGGGCTCAGGCAATCCACTCACCTCAGCCTCCCAAGGCACGGGATTACAGGTTGAGCCGCCAAGCCCGGCCCCATCCTTTATTTTAAAGATGTGGGGTACAATTCAGGGTTAGGTATATAAATGTTCATTATGCAGGTACCCTTGTTGATGAGGTGTGTATTTGATGTTCTAAGGCTGAAGTTTCATCTCCCTTTGACCTTTCTGTTCCCTTACAGTTCCTGCCCCCCCATTTCTTCTCTGAAAGCCCACTGAACTCAGAGTTAGTTCCACAGAGCTTGGTGCATCGCTGTTCTCTAATGCTTTTCCCAGCTGGACCAGGATCCTGAGGGAATCAGACCTGAGCCAGGAACTGTGAAATCAGATATTCTTCATGCTCATTGGAAGGAGGGAGAGCCCAGACTGTAGACAGTTTTAGCAGCAACTTCAGGACAACGTAACAGGATTAGCCAAACACAACCGAGAAGGTAGCCACCACCCTGAAAACCGCACCCCTGTACACACTGTCAAGCTACCTCACCGAAGTGGTGTTACAGCTACCTCTTCTTTTCAGCTGCAGATTATTCATCATGATTCTCTCTAATCTCCCACTTGATTTCTCTTGCCATAAGCGATGTTTCTTGGCTACTGCCCACTCACCAACCAATTAGTATATGACCAGGGGATGCAAATTAATTCAAACATATATCACTCATAGCAAACCCGCTGGGAAGAGGTCTGTTGGAAGGAACAGATCATGAATCATCTTCACACAAAAAACAAAAAGCTTCTGCATCATACTGATGTTATATTTTTCACATTGTTCTCACTGAGTTCCTTTTTTTTTTGAGTTGGAGTCTCACTCTGTCGCCCAAGACTGGAGTACAGTGGCAGGCTCCCGGTCACCTCAACCTCGACCTGGGGGACTCCAGCGATCCTTCCGCCTCAGCCTTCCAAGGAGCCAGAACTACAGGTGTGTGCTACCACACCCAGCTAATTTTTGATTTATTGTAGAGATGAGGTCTTGCCAAATTGCCTGGGTGGGTCTCGAACCCGTGGGCTCAGGCAATCTACTCGCCTCGGCCTCCCAAAGTGCTGGGATGACAGGATGAGCCACTGAGCCCGGCCCTCACTGAGTTCTTACTTTATTTTTTTGGAATCAGGGTCTTATTTGTCACCCAGACTATAGTGCAGTGGCACGGTCCCAACTCTCCACAGCCTCACCCTCCTGGGCTCAGGCTATCCTTCCACCTCAGCCTCCTGAGTAGCAGGGACTCCAGACATACGCCACCACCCCTAATTTTTAGATTTTTGTAGAGATGAGGTCTTGCTGTGTTGCCAAGGCTGTTCTTGAATCCTGGCCTCAAACAATCCTCCTGTCTCGGCCTCCCAAAAAGTGCTGGGATCACAGGCATGAGCCAAGTGGCCCGGCCTTCACTGAGTATCTTTTGAACACAGCTAAGACAGTTGAACGTGAGGACTTCTCCAAGTTATGGCAGACCTGAGGATGACACTCCCCTAGGCTCTTCAGGGTGCTGGGCGCTGGACTGGTTCACCCAGAGTATGCGCATTCATACCAAATAAGGGAATAAGAGGGGTTTACAAGGAACCTCAGATGCCACATATGGAAATGAAGGGTTTAGACAGTTTGGCAGACATCCCTAGGGCGAGATGGGATTCTGATTACACACAAGGGGAAAGGGCCAAACAAAAGTAAAAAATGAGAGAATAGGAGGAAGGCCTGATGGCCAGGGGGGAAGGGGACGGAACAAGTGGAGACTTCCCGAGATTAAATGAGGGGAAGCCACAACTGCCCGGCTAATTAAAGAACAGCGCCATCTGCCAAGGCAAGTCATCTAGGGAGTTCCCAGGGTGGGTGACGGTGCAGCTGAACCGGGCGTCGGAACCCAGCACGCCGTCCAAGGTTATCAGCTGAGGACAGCAGGGGGGGAAGAAAGGAGCGCATTTTTCTTTTTAAAAAATTATTCTTTCTTTCTCTAATTATAAAGATGTGGGGTACAGTTCAGGGCTAGGTATACACAGGTTGATGACGCAGGTACCCTTGTTGTCGGAGGTGTGCCCCTCCCTCCCCTAGCAGTTTCCCTCAACTGCCAATCCCACCCCGCCTCCCCTGACAGTTTCCCACTACTGCCAAACGCTTTCTTATAGTATTATAATTGTTCAAGGTCCGCTTGTGAGTGAGAACATATGGTAGTCTGTTCTTTGTTTCTGTGATAGATCACTGAGTATGATCGACTCTAAATCCATCCACATTGATGCGAAGTGCAAATCAAAACCACACTGAGATACCACCTGATCTCTGTAAGAATGGTCATTGTTAATAAAACAAACAACGACAGATGCTGGCGAGGATGTGGAGAAAAAGGAACGCTTCTACACTGCTGGTGGGAATACAAACTAGTGCAACCTCTCTGGAAGACAGTGTGGCGATTTCTGAAAGAACTAGAAATTGACCTTCCATATGACCCAGCAATTCCCCTATTGGGAATATACCCGGAGGAACTCACATCATTCTACAAAAAAGATACCTGCACACGTATGTGTGTTGCAACTCTATTCACGATAGTAAAAACATGGAACCGACCATGTTGCCCATTGAAGCTGGACTTCTTTTTTTTTTTGAATCGGCATCTCACTCTGTCGTCCAGGCTGGAGTGCAGTGGCACTGTCATGGCTCACTGCAGCCTCGACCATCTGGGACTACAGGTGCCACCCCAACCGGCTAATTTTTTAATTGTTTTGTAGAGACGAGGTCTCCAGGTCTCGCTATGTTGCCAGGGTGGTCTTGAATGCCTAGGCTCAAGCCATCCTCCAATCTCGGCCTCCCAAATGGCTGGGATTACAGGCGTGAGCCATCATGCCCCGTCATAGAGGGTTACATCTTAAGCAGCATAGGCCGGATTTAATTTCAATGTTTTAGTTGAAAGCAAATTATGGTAGCTACTGTTAGCCATTGACACTTTAGTGTGAATAAAGGAACCAACGTTTATAAAGATAGGGACTTGCCAAGCACTGTTTGGGGCAAAGGCGTGTGAGAATTGTTTCTTCTTCAGAGATAATCTACTGGGGTGGGGTGGTAGCACATTTAGGCTGAGAACAAAGTGCTGGGAGCTAATAGATTACAAACAGGGAGTTTGGAGCACGGACTTGAAATCGGGAATTCTGCTCCACCAACCCGGAGTCATGCAACTTGGCACAAGTTATGTTTCTCCCAGTTGACTCATCTGTGAAATGATACAGTGATAGGCAAGTCATTAGGTCAGCAGAAGGGTCAAACAAGATGCAGCAGTTAGCACAGGACCTGGCAGGGGGCAAACATTCAAAAAGTATTAGCTATTTCTTCTCGTTTCAGGAGTTGGACTCCAAAGGGGAACCTGGTTCCATGTTGGTTCCAAAGGGGAAGGTGCAGGCAGGGGCCGGCCTGAGCAGAGGTGTGGAGGCAGGATGACGTCTCCCCTGGGTGGGGCAGTGGACATGCTGGCTGGCTCGGGGAGGGGGTCGTGCAACTGGAGGGAGCCCGAGATCCCTGCCAAGGGGAGGTGCCGTGGAAGGCAGCTGTGGTGGGCTTTGCAAAGGCCCAGGGTTTCTCTGGATGCCACGTGACGGACTCAAGTGGCATTTCCGGAAATGATTCTGGAGGTCTTTGCAGCAGGATGGGACGTGACTCAAATTTAACTCAAGGTTATCCGCGTCTCTGGAGAAGGGTCTAACTCAAGGTTGTTTTTTTTTTCTTGACCTTTTAAATTTTTAAAATTAAAGATGGGGCCGGGGCCGGTGGCTCATGCCTGTCATCCCAGCACTTTGGGAGGCAGAGGCGAGAGGATGGTCAGCCCAGGGGTTCAAGACCAGCCTGGGCAACTTGGCGAGACCTCGTCTCTAGAATAAATCAAACAATAAAAAATAAAAATAAAAAAAGTGGATTGTTAGACCTGGCTTAGCTGCTGGCCACTCCTTTAGCTGGGTTGTCTATCCGAGGGCTGAATATCCAATCAAAGTCAACTCTGGGGACCGCATACCCAGATCCTGTGAATTACATTTTCTGGCTCAGGTGATCCTCCCGTCTCAGCCTCCCAAGTAGCTGGGACTACAGGACGACTGGCTAATTATCTGATTTTTTTTGTAGAGATGAGGCCTCACTATGTTTCCTAGGCTGATCTTGAGCCCCTGGTCTCAAGCGATCCTCCCGGCTTGGTTTCCCAGAGTTCTGGGATTACAGGCATGAGCTACTGTGCCCGGCCTCTGGTGTCATTTTGAAGGGACCCTGCTAACGCAGGAAAGCAAGTCCATGAAGGATTTAGAACGGCGCTCAGGTGTGGGTGGCGGTAAGCTCTCTCCCTTTTGGATGAGGTAACGGTCTGTGTCAGCGATGCTGCCACGGGATGAGCTCACTTCTCCAGCAGGGCGCCCCAGGAAGCTGGAACACCTGAACTATCATTACAATAACAGACTGACTGAGGTCCATACAAGGTAAACTGGCTGGCTAGATTTTTATTGGGTTGGAGCCCACGGAAGAACTGACTTCATATAGAGTATTTTTCTGAGGGGTACCTCCCTGGTTATGTGGGTGTCTCTTGTTTGTGTTAACGTAGCCTTGGAAATACTTTTTCCACATCTCAAGGGCCTGTTCTGTCTTAAATCCAACATATTAGATTTTGGGTCACTTTTTCCTGTCCTGAAAGCGCTGAACTGGGTGGGGAAGTTTCCACAGGAGGGTGCTTATTGCCAACCATGTGGATGGTCACACTGATTCTGGGATTCCTAGAATCCTAGACAGTCAGTTCTCCTAGGGCACTTCCTCTGTCTCTCTCTCTCTCTCTCTCTCTCTTTTTTCCCTTGAGGCAGGATCTCACTCTGTTGCTCAAACTGGAGTAGAGTAGCACGATCATAGCTCACTGCACCCTCGAACTCTTAGGTTCAAGCAATCCTCCCACCTCGATCTCCCAAATAATTTCAGACATGAGCCACTGCACCTGGCCCAGAAGGTGATGCAGGTTGGAAAAGAGTTCTTAAAGAGGCATCTGCAGAAGTAACAGGAGCAGACACACAATGCCAACAGGAATAGCCCTGGTCATCTGCGTACCGGCCTCTAAAACAAATCCTATCTTGCAGAATCTTATCCAGCGGTTGCCATCCTGGCTACACTCATCTGGGTGTGTCTAAAAAGTACCCATGCCTGGGCTGCACTCCCAGTTTCTCATTAATCTGGGCGTGGGGTCTGGCACAAGTATTTTTATTCCCTTTAATTTTTTTAAAAATAGAGACAAGGTCTCACTATGTTGCTTAAGCTGGTCTCGAACTCCTGGGCTCAAGCAATTCTCCCAAAGTGCTGGGATTACAGGCATGAGCCACTGGGCCCAGCTTGGCACAGGTTTTTGTTTTTTTTTTTTTGAGTTGGAGTCTCACTCTGTCACCCAGGCTGGTGGGCAGTGGCATGCTCCTGGCCACCGCAGCTTCCACCTGCTGTGTTCAGGCAATCCTTCTGCCTCAGCCTTCCAAGTAGCTGGAACTACAGGCACATACCACCATGCCCAGCTAATTTTTTTTTTTTTTGGATTTATTGTAG